CATACATATTATTAAATTCTGGTCTATAATGGTTGTATTGATGTATAGCAACTTGAAATGCTCCCAAAAATGGCACTACAGCATGTAAAAATATAATATAAGCTCTGGCGGACTTGGTTCTATGGTAGGTCTTAAAGGGTTAAACTAAAGTTGATTCTGTTCATATGGACGTAATAGTCTCACTGGGAGGGATATTTTGTCATTCAAGTGACATCTTCAGCCTCAGATGACGACAATGGTTTTTAGGTAAACCATAGTGGGTTTTTTGTCACAAATGTTATTGTGTTTCAGACTTGGTGGCTGTAACCTCTCAGAGAGAAGCTGTGAAGCTCTGTCCTCTGTTCTAAGCTCACAGTCCTCAAATCTGAGAGAGCTGGATCTGAGTAACAACAACTTGCACGACTCAGGAGTGAAGATGCTCTCTACAGGACTGCAGAGTCTGTGTTGTACACTGGAAACTCTCAGGTAAGCAAACTTTTCCACTTGAATTCAAAAAGTCAGAGTTTCTGGATAATTATTATTGCATGTACAGCTAAACTTTAGAAAAATGTAAAATTACATTTTGACATTTTACATGCATGATCAGATTCTTATTTGCTATCTAAAAATGTTTGATATGCAAATTCTGTTTTAGATTTGTTTGTATAAATTACTTACGCAATGATCATTCAGAGATTTAGGGCCATTTGTGTTCAAAGCATTTTAGTTTCCTTTTATTGTTATGAACCTTAAAGTCAGGGCTGAGACAGGACTGTAGAAAAATAGGAGAAAGCAACATTTGGCATTTAACTAGATTGTCAAAAAAAAAGTATATTGTACATACATCCGCAGAGATGCTGAGACACATTTGTCAGTGATTTTTCCTGAGGTCACCTGGTATTTTGGGCTCTAAAACACAAGTAGAGTCTTGATTTGTGATCCAGCCAAAAGAGTTAACTTGTCAAACAGTAATTCTGCAAATGTACTACTTATAAAGTTAGGGAGACTAAAAAACTTGAGTGAGTGACATCTCGACTAAAAATGTTATGTCCAGATACAAAAATCAACAAGACTGTGTCTACAAATTATGGAACAACTGAAGTTGGGAAGACGTTTTTTTTTTTTTATTCTAGTGGAAAAGATTTCCAAGAATCTGCAGAAATCTCAGGTGGCACTGTCCTGATGTGGTTGTGGACCCATGCAGTAATTTTCAAGAAGAAATCAAGTCTGTTGTTAATACAGTGCCAACTCAGACCCAAAGATAACAAGCATCCAGTATTAAATTAGTTTAGTCTGTTTACTCTGCGCACAGACAAGCTGAAGAAATCATTGGCTGAAAACCTGGACTGGAGTAGAAAGTCTACTAGAAAATGTGAGTGCGTCATAATGGACAATCTCTACTACGGCCAACACTAAAAACCAATCAACAGATCTACACCATATCAACAGTGATCCTTGAAATGTTTGGCTACAAGACAAACATCCACAAGGAGAATTACCCTCCATGAAGGGGTATAGAGGCCAAGATGAACCATAAAGGAAAGTTTGTCAACTATCAGAACTGCAGCAAAGACATCCCTGAAATACAAAGCAATAAGGCCATACCTGATGATTAGCTAACTGCCTAAAGAAGCATATCAGAGAGTAAGAAGCCAGTAAAATAAATCAGCTGTTTTCACATGAAACATCCAGGGTGTGTTGCTACCAACACGTGAACAATATGAGCATGGCAGCCACTCCTGTTCTGTATTCTGCCATCAACAGCTGGCTACAGATGCCAGTCATGGAATGGAGCAGTTAATGACCACGTCTTCCAAATCGATGACATCAAGCTGTATGCCAGGGAAACAACCAAATATATGTGTAGGTGTTCCTAATATTTGGCCAGATTGATCTATGAACTGCACTCATTAGTTAAAGGCATCTGCATTGTTATTGGTATGAATTTAGAAAAAACAAGCCCTTTGTTTCCTTGATATCAATTTGATACAGAAATGTACAGTTATGCACGAACTACATATAGTTCCTAGAGTTTTCAAAAGTAGATGTGGATTATTAAAAAAAATAAAATGAAAATGAGACAACGAATATTATAGTTGTAGTTGTCTCACTATAAATAAAGCAAAAGAAAACTGAAGAAAATGAGAAAAAAATGAAGTACATAAGAGAGCTGTTTATTGACGAATTGTTGTTTGGTGTATTTTCAGGCTGTCAGGCTGTCTGATCACAGAGGAAGGCTGTACTTCTCTGGCTTTAGCTCTGAGTTCCAATCCCTCTCATCTGAAAGAGCTGGATCTGAGCTACAATCAACCTGGAGACTCAGGAATAAAACTGCTGTCGGCAGGATTGATGGATCCATCCTGGAGACTAGACACTCTCAGGTATGAGGAGAATGTCTAATAGAACAGGAGGAGCTGGGAACATTTCTTTCCATTTTTCCTATGCTCACAAAAGAAACATTAGTCCACTTTGTCAAAAAAACTGAGAAACAACCTTGACAATAATTCCCATAGGCCACTGATTCCTCTTGGTTTGATCGTCCTTGAGCAGAACAATATCTTCTTTGAGATTAGGTTTTGGTGGTAGTAACACTTCTTAAATAACTATAATATGTGCATTCCATGACAAGCTCATTATTTAGTGACAGTTTTGACCCTGATTCAGATTAGATTCTTTGAATACCGGGTGCTAAGATGCATTAATTAGTTTAGACAGAAAAGAGATTAGTTTTCATGCTACAGGGTGTGGTGACTCAGTATTTGTGTTTTGATTTTTTATGGTTCATCCCACATAGCATGCAGGTCTGGCACGGATCTGGTGTCAAGCCAGCACTGCTGGCTGACTTCTGGCATGGTAAGTCGAACATCATCCAGATATGGGCCAGGCCTGGCATAGATGGCACTTTATAGGTGATGGCATGCCATATCTGGCTCGATTGTGGTTTGGTTTATGTGGCCCAGGCTCATAGAAAATGGGTCACATAAACCCATTATCTATGAGCCTGGGCCAGATCTGGCATTAAACTGGCACTTCTGACTGACTGGTGTCATGGCAGGGTGTATGTCGACCAGATGTGGGCCAGGTCTGACAATGATGACACTATTTATGTTCCTATTTTCCTATTTTAGTTAGAAGACCCAAATACCATGTTGCAATACTATACTGCTGTGGTAGCCAAAGTTTCAAATGAAGGTTTGACAGAATTGTGAGTGTACACTTTATACAAAAACCTAGTTAGGGTTTACTCATGTTTACCTCTGGGTGACTGTATACTCATGAGGTAGAGCTGAGCTGAAACTGTTTTGGGCCAGCACAGAACCACCACTGTGTTTGTAAATGGCCTTGTGCTGGCTCATGTCTTGGCCTCCTCTGGCAAATCTGATGAGGGCCACCAAAGGGCTGTCATTTTTTGCAGTATGTGGGCCATGTGTAAGCACATTGTGTGGGCCAGATCAATTTTGCTATGTGGGATGATTGTGTTTAGTCTTAGTTCCTAGGGTTTTTTTTTTACTTTGCCTTCCCAGTGTTCCTTGTTTAGTTATTTTTCTCCCCATGTCCCCTCTATATCTCCAAATCAGTCGTGTCTCTGTCTCAGTGTGTAGTCTGCGTCTTTGTGTTTCTCTCATGTTTCTTGTTTTAATTTGGCAGTCCCATGTCCCTTGTCAGTGCATCTAGTTTTAATTTCCTGCTCACATTATGTTTGAATTGTTTGTATATTTATTTGTATGTTTCATTTGTACAATTCCCATGTGCTGTGTGTGTCTCCATCCTTCTCCCAGTGTTTCCAATTTCTCTGTGCTCTAGCCTGATCCTCAGAACTTCCAGAGAACAGAACTTCCATTACACCCATGTCTTGAACTACTTGTTGGTGTTTGGGCGAATTAAAATGAGAGTGGAGGAGAATAATTGTTTTAACTTACTAAATGCAATGTCAGGCTCATTGCCCAGCCTAGTTGCTGCCCCCCTCACTCATCTCACCTCTTCTAAGTTCCTGATGAACCGTTGATAGAAGTTAGCAAACCCCAGGTATCGCTAGAGTTGCTTTTGTGATGTTAGCCCGATCAAGCTTTGCGTATCCCCCTGCCAAGTTATAGCCCAGGAATGAGACTGAAGGAGCATGGAATTTGCACTGTTTGGCACTTTTCTTTCACATACAGCTGATTCTCTAGCAGCTGCTGCAACAGAGAGGATATCATCAAGATAAACAAAGACTAAAATGTTCAGAAAATTCCTGAGCAACTCATTCATTAGGGCTTGGAAGACAGCAGGGGCATTAGTTGATCCAAGTGGCATAACCAAATATTTAAAGTTTCCTAAAGGGACACGTTTTCCACACATGTCCCTTCCGCATCTGCATACAGTGATAGGCATTCCACAAAGCCAATTTGGTAAAAACCAAGGGCCCCTAAAGAGACTAAAGGCAGAGTTAATGAGTGTAGTTTGATATTTTTCTTTTATAATGATGTCATTCAGACCCCCAAAATCTACACACAGCCAAAGCAACCGGATTTTCTTAGCCAGAAAGAAAAATCCAAGCAAATGTGTAAAAGGACATGTTGTCACAGGGCAAACCGTGTGGGATTTAATAAAGGACCTAATATACAGGCAGCTTCTGATGCGAGTGAGCTTTATTACACCTAAGGACAGAACCCGAGGAAAACCTATACTGGGAAAAACTAACCAAAGACAGACTTGAAACCTGAAACCAAGATGTAGGAAAATGATGCAGGAAAAAACACAGATGAACCAGCGACGAGCACGAGATGACACACACTATAAATACACAGGCAGGCACATGAGGGAACGAGGAACAGGAGGCAACACAGCTGGGACTAATTGGGGAAGATGAGACAAGGAAGCAAAATACAATACACTAACATAAGACAGACCTTCAAAGTAAAACAGGAAATACACTGAGACTCAGACAGGAGGGGAAGAAAGAGAACACTGAGGGGCACGAGGGAGAGCATAGACATAACACGCTGGGGAAACATGGAATAAAGCACAAGGAGGGGAAACAAGGCACCAAAACACTAATACAGGGAGAAAGACAGAGGGGTGTATCTCTCCCTCACTTTACTGACAAAAGTATTCACTCCTTTATGTTCAAACGCATATGAACTTGAGTGACATCCCATTTATTATACAAGCCACTATGATAACTTCAACTCTTCTGGGATGGCTTTCCAAAAGTTTAGGAATGTGTTTGTGAGAATTTCTCAGCATCCTTCCATTTGTTTATTTGTTTGGTCAAACATTAATGCTGAAGGGAAATGCCTGGCTCAATCTCGCCGCTCTAATTCATCCAAAAGGTGTTTCCTTTTTTGGGGGTGGATGTAGCTCAGGTGGTAGAGCAGGTCAACTACTGATTGGAAGGTCGGTGGTTTGATCCCTGGATCCCCAGGTTGTATGCCAAATATTCTTGGACAAGATACTAACCCCAGTGAATATGTGTTGGTTAGAAAGCCATTAATTAAAGAGGAAAGTTTGACTGCTTTGGAAGGGTAGAAAATCGCTATTAAATAATTGGTCAGTTTACCATTTACCATTCTTGGGTTGACCAGTCAAGTTCTTCGACACCAGACTCACTTATCCACGTCTCCTGGGCCTGCTGAAGGCATGGGTCTCTGGTGGTTTGGGTGTGGAAGGCTACTGGACTTTTCATTTTTGCATTGGAGCACAGTCATGTTGGAAAAGGAAGGAGGCTTCCCCTAACCTTTCCTACAATGTTGGCAGCATAAATTGTCCAAAATGTCTTAGCATACTGAAGCATAAAGTGCTAATTTTGGCGATACCAAGAGGTTGAGCCCAATCCTGAAAAACAACCTCACACAGATCCCCTAATGCTTCCATCTTTATTTTAAGCTTTTTTTTCCCCCTGGACTTTTTGAACATCCTATAAAGATACCACGTTTACAATGATACTATGTTTTTCAACTGAGATTGCAAGAGCAACCTATTCTAACATGCATGCTTCCCTTAGGTGCTTTATTTTAAACACCTGTGGCAATGAATGTTATTGGAACACCTGAATTCCATGATTTAGATGGGTGAATTTCATGGGTGTGTGGGTGTATACTCAATATTAAGTATGGGGTATTATGTTGAGAAACTGATATTATAAGATAACTCTGTAATGTGATCTAAGAAAATATGAATCAGTTGATTTTAAAGGAACCTCTCTCACAGAGCTCTGCAAAAGTTTCCAGGAAGGACCAGTAAGTCCTACATTTATCTAAAAAGTAGTGCTCATACATAATGTAGATTATTCCTTGCTGACTGAAGGAGTAACTTTCTGAAGGTAATCAGTAAAGTGAGACAAAGGATTATGATGACTACGGAAGAGTTTGGCAAGTCCTTCAAAGGACTAACAGATCCAGGATCAGTCCAAATCATCAGCAGTTTGATCCATGTATGATTGAAGTTAATTTGTGAAAATGTTGGACTATTCATTTATCAATGTCTAACGGTACGTGTATGAGAGCGACGTAATGTCCATGTGTGCATGCTGAAAGAGACTGTGCTGGTCTGATGCCCCTCCTCCTTTCAGAGTGGAGCCTGCTGGAGTCCAATGGTTGAGACCAGGTCTGAAGAAGTGTAAGTGTGTTTTTAATGTGATTCATGAAAACAAAGCAGCACACATTCAACCATCTTCAAACTGTCACATCACTCATTCACATCTCTAATGTCAGGAGTCCTCATCAAAGTGTCAATCAATGAACAGATGATGGATCAATAACTGCAGCTGGATTGTATTTGTTCTCTCCATCAGATTCCTGCCAACTCACAATCGACACAAACACAGTACACACAAACCTCCAACTGTCTGACAACAACAGGAAGATGACACATGTGGAGGAGGTTCAATCATACCCTGATCATCCAGACAGATTTGATCGACTTACTCAGCTGCTGTGTAGAAATGGTCTGACTGGTCGCTGTTACTGGGAGGTCGAGTGGAAAGGAACGGTTCTCATATCAGTCACTTACAGAAGAGTCAGAAGGAAAGGAAACAGTAAAGCATGTATCTTTGGATGGAATGATCAGTCCTGGTGTCTGTACTGCACTAATGATGGTCCCGATTCTGTCAGGCACAACAACAAAGGAATATCCATCAACTCTTCTTCTTCCGTCTCTAACAGAGTAGCAGTGTATGTAGACTGTCCTGCTGGCACTCTGTCCTTCTACAAAGTCTCCTCTGACACTCTGATCCATCTGCACACCCTGAAAACCACATTCACTGAAACTCTTTATCCTGGATTTAACCTCTGGTTTCCTGGTGCCTCAGTGAGTCTGTGCTGAATTGAATGTAAAGAGTGTCTCCTGTTAGATAAACACTCTGACTGTACATGTCTGTCTCTTTCACTCAGAAACACGTTTTCAGATTCATGGATTCAATCAGTTGATATTTTAAACTGTTCTTGTCCTTTAGTCCCTCAGTCCTTTAAAGATGGAAGCTCCCATTATTCCAGGCTCCACATGTTGTTTTTCTGTCTTTTTCCACTCAAAGCTTCACACTGAATATAAGTATGTTGTGTTTCTCTGAAGTTCAGTTCACAACCAGCTCCTCTGCATTTTCAACAAGTCTGAGCTCATTAAAATGAATCCAAATGTTTGATTTCTTTTTCT